CCCTTACAAGATGGTGCGGGATAAACTCCGCACCTGGGCCCCCCCGCTGACGCAGAGTCTCAGGCCCCAGCTCGTGGAGGACGTGGTAAGCGCTCTGTTCCCTGCGCGAGGGGAACATCCGCCACATGGCTGACGGGGTTCTATGAACAAATCAGCCGCTAGTGTGCTCCTCGCCAGGGTACCTGCAGACCCCCTGGCGAGTAATAAATCCTCTAAATCTGCTTACCTTGGTACAAGGGTCTCTGCCAAGGTGGACCTTTAATTCCCCCATACTCGTGGATGCAGAAATGGAAACACCAAAAGTCCGTCCGTCATCCGGTGAAGAGGAGGTCTCGGCCCGGAAAATCCCCACCAACAGGCGGGCTGAGAGGCAAGGGGAATGCCAATCAGAGGGGCGAACGAGCGGCAAAGCTTGCCGAGGAGGGGCGCCACCCGGGCGATACGGCTTGGGTATCAGGCGAAGAAACGAGTGCGACTGGCGGTTCCGAGGTGGAGCGTAAGGCCAGATTCGTAAAGGAGGTGGAGGCCGCGATCAAGGTCGTGGCCTACAAGCAAAAGCCGTCCTCGAAGTTTAAGGCCATTCCCGGGGCCTCCGCCTCCATCATGGCGGCTGCGGAGGCCATCTTTGTTGGGGCAGGGCCTAATGCGGACGAGGTGGCGAAGCTGCGGGCGAACGTGGCCCGCCTGACGTCCGCCATGTAGACTCTCCAGAAGGAGAACGAGAAGCTCCGCGCAGACCTGGCCAGTCTACGTGAGCCTGCCTCTCGCGCGGCGCCCCAGACGCAGCGCCCAAGCCAGGCCGTGCCGGTGGAGAACCAGGTTCTGAACCTGGTCCGGCAGGAGCTGGCTGCCTTCCAGCATCGGTTCTCCGTGCTGGAGGGCATCGTTCTGCCTCGCTGCCGTCTTGTTTGCCCCCCCCCCCCTAGGGGCAAACAAGACGGCAGCGAGGCTGGCAACGGTCTCGTACGCGGCGGCCAGCAAACACTACACTATGAAAATCGTATAATTTTCAAATCTTTGTAATATTTACTAGAGAGATAAATACAAAAATTCACAGGTTACCTAGCCTTATATTGCAAAAATTGTATAAATGTTACGTACTTTAGCGTTTATACACGGAGGATGTTATTCTACATTTTCAACTTTTTAGGCACGCAAAAACTTGTTGCGAGAAGGATTCAAACCTGTCACCCGCAGAGCCAACAAATGTGAAGCAGGATACAAAAATAACACATTAGATTTAACAAGGAATATAAGATTGTAATTCATGACATAAAACCACGTTCACCTTTTTAAGTGTGACATTAGTCATACCTCAGGCGTTTCCGACATTTTAAGGGGTGACTATAAATATGAAATACTGAGCGACTGATATTAAAACAAGAGTAAAAGGCGGAGTATTTTGTTGAAATTTCAGAGGGAATTGAAAATAGACGTGTAGTCGCCGGGTCTGTTTTGAGACGATTAATATCGACTGATTAATGTTGAAGGATAGGAGTCTAGTTGCATCATAAAATGGAATAGTTAGCTCACATCCCGTAATTATACGTAAAGATTTGACAGCTCAGTGACGCAGTGGGTTAACAATGACTGGTTTGAATCCCGCGCGGATCAAGTTTTTGTATGGCCTACTAAAAATTGGTCTAGGTGCGGATGTTGGTCCTTGTGCAATTTATATATGGTAATTGCTTTCACGATTCATGAGAAACTCCTAGTGTGCTGTTGCCACTACACTAGTCTTTTTTATAACTAAATAGTCGATATACTGCTTCTTTAGGGCAGAAATAGACACAAGGGTGATGCCTACACAGATCGCATCAGAAGAGAACCGTAATCTCAGTAATATTCTGTGTGAGCGTAGCACAGTTCCGAGTGTCCAGACTATCACGTGTAGCTTTCAAAGGTTATCTAAATGTAAAAAAAAATAATCCGAAGAGGTGATGGATATCCAAATCAAAATTAAAGACCTTCACAACATACTACGGTCATGGTGCCAGTAAACGTTACCAGTGATCTGCTCGTGTGTTAACAATACGCACGCCAACAAACGCTTGCTGTGTGGTGGCAGCGTAAGAGAATCCATCGCCAAATTTCACCCCGTAGGTGTCGTAAGAGACGACTTTGAGAAATTCCTAGAAAAACTACATTGCTCCTGATAAGTGACGGTAAAACTATCTCGTTTTCCCGAGTCGTAAAATATCCATACTATTAACGGACATCAGCGTTAAATTGCCCACGTGTGGTACTGCGAGTTGCAAACTTCTTGCCTTACGTAACGATTAACTACCACGGAACAAGCTCACTTCCAAAAGTGATTTTCTACAGGCCGGTAAAGGAGAATACGAAAAACATCAAATATCTACTATTGTCGTGCCTAGAAGTTCAACATAAATGCTTAAAACTCCGACTCGTGAGCGTTGTAAATATAGCAAATGTCACATTTATTTATGTCTTTATTTCTGACATTATAGTTTTGTTGTGTGTTAAATGATGCTGCAAGAGCTTTGTTGCCCGTATAAAAGACACGTAAGCTCTAGGTCCTTTCCATCTTAAATGTGTGATTTTAGTTTTAATTTATATTTGAGTAATAAAAATGGTTTAACACGGTTCAAAAGTGCAGTCCCACAGACTAGATTTTTTTTGTAGCTTTAAGAAAATGGCGCAGATAAATGTATGGTAGCGACGTATGTCTTATCTCTTTTAAGTTAAGAATCCTTCCTTTTTTGAAGTCTATTAAATAATTTCAAATAGACTCAACGAACTAGAGCTCAGGTAATAATTACTGAACCATGCATTGTATTTTTATCATCTTTCCGTTAAAATAAATAAAAAATTGCACATAAATAATACCTCAAACAGTGTAAACATAGCGCGTAACAAGAATGAATTATAACATCGTCGCTTGATGAGCACAAAATAAGAAACGTGACTGCTGTAATACGTCCCTCATAAGCCTCACTTAATCTGCTTTTTCTTTCTCGTACATTATCGCGAGTACACTTATATGACAAGCGCATTATTTGATTTATTATATTTTTAAATGATATATTATTGTCTATTAACTTCTGACCGTGGATCCGCCTGCATGGCAACAGAAAGCTCTTCATGCCAAAGCATCATCCTCGTACGAGTGAAATGCGGACTGCGAACTCAAAAGAACGAATTCGCCACTCGACTACTGTAGTGAACCACTCCTGACTAATGATTTCTTATATTTACGCGAACACTATACATTGAAATAATACTAGTTTTTACGGAATTTATCGCGTATATTTAACTTTATAAATACCCGACGTTTCGAACGCTTTACAGCACTCATGGTCTCGGGCGGGACTGAGATGTTCAACGTCCATATGTCATAGTTAACCGAGGTTACCATAGATTAAAATTTAACTTTTGTTCCGATCTATGCAGTATGAACTTATGGTATCTTGAAGTCTTGCAGTTGTATGCTTGGGTTGGGATTTAATTTTATTTATTATAGGATCTCAAGCAGATGGTACCACCCAGCCATCTTCTCTATTGAAATTAGGATGTTTTTTGATTTCAACAGCCTCGCGAATCATCCTTGGAAGGAATCGGTGTTCTTTAGCGATGATTTGCGGTCTATCAAATCTGATGTAGTGACGGGGGCGATCCTGTACGTGTTCACAGACTGCAGACTTCTCACTCCTGACTAATTCACGAGAAACAGCATCAAAGTAAGAGAATTCTGGTGCAGCGGTCATTATCTCGCCCACCAGGCGTAGTGATTTAGGTAAATCCTCAATACGCCCGTGTCATGCAGTGGTCTTTGACATTACCGTGGTCACCACCGTAGTCAGGAATAGTGGGGCGGCCGGGGACAGGGGGCCGCTTCCTCGTAGCTCTCGCCACAGTCGGCTTTTTATTAAATATAATTTCAAAACTAAAACTTACTCAGGCGGACCATTAGGACTTAATTAAATATTGTTGAGCTGAATCCTCCAAACCAATTTTGTTAAATTTATTTTTGTTCGCATTGGTTTTTAGTAACCAGACTCCGCTCCAGCAAATTTGTATACGTCCGTGACTTCCAACTTTATTCAACGTTCAGTAGTCTGTAAAAAGTTAAAGAAAACGTAAAAAAGAACGTTTTAATAACTTTGATATAGGAAATAATATTTTCCTTATCTTAATAAATAAACATAAAAAAAAACAGTTTAATGGTTTGTAATAACAGGCAATCTGCTATTTTTGAAAAGATTTTGTTGCGAAAGCCTTACAATTAGAGCTACCGAAATCATTAATTTTAATTTTGCAGATTTATCATGTTGTGATTGTGCAATAATTATTTGATCAAAGTACCATACCTGTAAGTGTCCTTCGATCAAAATTATATGAAGTTCACGCCTCCTCTGTGTTTGTTTACTACGTAGTCACAGGTTAATGGACCAAATCATACGAGTTTTAATCTCGGGTTTTAAATCGGAGAGAAAATAAGATTTTTTACTGGTATCTCAACTAATATGAGCTCCCACTGGCAACACGTCATTGTGAATTTTAATCCACTAGAATTAGAACAATGCAAACAGTTAACCGTCTTCCGCTGGCATTAGCGCGTGCCGTATGTGTTAACATGCCGCTCGTACGATCTCCTAACTCTGACGAAGTTACAAGTCGAAGTAACGAAATATGTAGTGAATTGAGATGTAATAAGTGCAAAGTGGTAATCAATGAATTGTTGGCCTTTGCTAGTAACAAGGTCGACACACTGCCGGAAACAGGAATTATACAAATTTGTATGAGTGCCTACTCTGCCGATGAAATTGAGAACGCAAGATCTGTTACCTATAAGCTACTGGCGCCTACGAAGAACTACATGAGAAGTAAGGAGGGGGCTGAGCAAAAAAGCATTCAAGATATCATAAAACTTATAAAAGAGTGACCCTGACTGCCTGCCGTTCTTCGCAGCAAAAAACTTAAACAAACTTCCGGCTGTATCATTTGATCACGTCGATGTGACAACTTTTCTTAAAGAAATGACTTTACTTAAGAGAGACGTAGCCTGTTTGAAGGCTAAACAACCTGGAATGAGCAATGAAGTTCAATTATCGGAGGATATTGATTTAATACGGAAGGAGATTGATGATGTCAAAAAAATTATGTTGGAATTTCGCGAAGTCCGCCATGACAGCAGTAAACGACAAGACGATCTGATTCTTGGGTCTTATCATAATGATAAGAACACTAGAAACAAGTTAAATAATAGTTACAAGATTACAAACAATTCCAATGAGGGTATCGTTGAGATTCATATCGACACGCCCCTAACGGACGTAAACAAACCAAGTGAGGGAGAAAGTACGTGCAAGAGCTCCCACTCTTTTGCGCATACGCCGTTGCCGGTAACGTTATTGCAGAAACAGAATAATCCTATTAGTGATACTGACACACATTATGTACCTACCTATAGAGATATAGCAAACACGATTCGCACGCAATTGAGTAAACGAAAAAATGACGAAGGTTTTACGATTGTTTCTAAAAGGAGACATGTATACAGGTATAGAAACGAGCGAGGTACTTTACAAAACGCGAATAAATTACAGGCTGCGGAATCATTTGCGTATTTCTATCTCTCACGTACGAAAAAGCACATAAATGAAAATGATATTAGAGACTATATAAAAGAAATGAAAGATGAATGTATTGACATAGAAATGTTGAAACAGACACGAGAAACACATTTTAATTCTTTCAAGATAACTGTCCTAGCATCAAAAATTAACAATTTATTACAAAAAAGTTTTTGGCCAGAGGGTTTAGTCTTTCGAAGATACCGTAACCAGCGTTCTATTAAGGGCAATACACTGGTATGTAATAAATAACTACGGATGCACAAAATAATTTAAGATTAGTTTCGTTAAACTGTAAATCAATTAAGAGGTCTGTACAACACGTTCGTGATTTGTGTGCGATAGCAGATGTCATTGCTCTTCAAGAGACATGGCTGATGCCACATGACTTGGATTTTTGAATCAAATTAACCAGGAATTTAGTAACTATGCTAAATCCTCTGTGGATATGTCAGTAGGTGTGCTGCGAGGGAGACCCTATGGTGGCACAGCGCTGCTATGGCGTACGAGTCTATTTACCAAAACGGAAATCGTGCAGTGTGATAATGACCAGATAGCGGGGGATGCGATTAGATCAAGGTGATCGTAGCCTTCTTGTATTTAGCGTATATATGCCTACTGATTGTGAGGATAAACTATCAGAGTTTATTCAGTGTCTTGCTAATATAAGTGCAGTGATTGAGAGTGCTGAGGTTGAATGCGTTTTGATATTAGATGATTTTAACGCGCATCCGGGTACACCTTTTGGTAAGGAGCTGGTGGACTATTGTGGTGAGCAGTCATTAACATGCATAGATTTAGAGAGACTAGATTATAACACATACACATTTGTGAGTGAGGCGCACGGCACGTGTCGGTGGCTTGATCACTGTATTGCTACTGCTGCTGCAGCCAGGATGGTAACCGATCTATATGTGAAGTATGACTCATTTTGGTCGGACCATGTACCTATAGTTATTTATTGTAACCTAAGTTTTATTACAGTTAAAGAAATTCACTATGAGTCGAACCTAAAAAATAATGCAAGGTTTTTATGCGGGCATAGGGAGCTTGAACAAGTAAAAATGTATTCAAAAAATCTGTGATGAAAAACTTTATGATATAATGAGTAATTATAAAAACATAAACATGGAATGTATGGATGTAAAACATTCATGTGAAAAATCGTGTCATTGTAAATATATTGAACATTTATATTGTGACATTGTAAGTGTGTTGTAAGTAGCAGCTGAGCGTAGCTTTTATATGAATAATATAAGAAAAGGGCAAAGAATTGTGGGGTGGAATTTTCACGTCAGGCATACCCGTCTCAATGCCAGAGATTTTTTTTTAAAATGGAATGAATATGGTAGGCCATCTTCGGGCTATTTTTACGAAAATATGGCTACCTCACGTAGAGAGTTTAAGGCCGCGCTTAAGTACGTTCAAAATAATCACGACAAAATAAAAATGGAAGTGTTGGCCCGACATCGAAATGCTGGTAACTTCAATGAATTTTGGAGAGAAATAAAAAAAGTTAGAACAAAAAAAATATTTGGCGTTAAGTGTAATTGGAGAAAAAAGTAAAAAAATATAGCAAATTTATTTAGAAATCAGTTTGATCTTGTACAAAATAAATATAATTATAATTGTAGAGCTAGGACTTGTCAGGTATCTGAAACTCACCATGTAACAATTACGCCGAAAGAGTTAGTCACTTTTGACTAACATGAAGCGGGGTAAGTCTCCGGGTCATGACGGTCTTAGCATAGAGCATCTGTTATAAGCAGGCCAGCATATCTGTGAGGTGTTAGCGCATTGTTTCAATCTCTGTGTCAGACATAGTTATTTCCCTGAGGAACTTATTCGTACGGTGGTTGTTCCTATTATGAAAAATAAAACCGGGGATATCTCGAGCTCGGTAAACTATAGGCCTATTTCTTTGGCCACTACAGTGGCCAAGGTATTCGAACGAGTATTAAATTTATACTTAAATTCCATAAATTACGATGATGGGCAGTTTGGTTTTCATCCAAATGTTGTTGGTTGGTTTCATCCAAATGGCTATATTTTCTCTAAAGCAAGTTATAGGTTATTATAAACAGCGGAATACTACTGTATACGCTTGTTTTCTTGATTTAAGTCTGAAAAAGCTCCGTGACACTAGCAAAGGTGTCCCGGCTGAGGTTGTCAGACCAACAACGTTAGGTGCGGTGGTGAAATATCGGATTGCTATAAGCTTTCTTGTGGCGTGAGACAGGGGGTGTTACCTCACCTGATCTTTTCAATACTTATATGAATTATTTAATCGTGGAGCTGAGCAGATCCCCGGTAGGGCTCAGAACTGACGACAGATATGTTAACAGCCTGAGCTATGCTGACGATATGGTGCTGCTCAGTCCCTCGATTAAAGGCTTGAAAAATTTAAATGAAATCGGTGAAAGATACGCGGAAGAACATAATTTGACTTACAACCCCAAAAAGACAGAAATAATGATTTTCAGATCGGGGAAGTTACCTCAGAGCGTGCCCGAGATTTGTCGTAATGGAAAATTTATTAAGATAGTAGACAAGTTCAAGTATCTTGGCCATATTGTTACTTCAGACTTAAAAGATGACACGTATGTGGAACGTCAACGTAGATCTCTGTGTGTAGTAGGCAATATGATTGCGCGAAAAATTCTGCAAGGGAGTCGCCGGACGACTTGCAGAATTTTCGCGTGACTAATTTCAATGTTTCACGTCGCCAACTACTGCTTTTTCTATAGAATAGGATGACAAACGAGCACACAGCCCACCTGATGATAAATGGTTGCTGTGGCCCATAGACATCTACATCTATCCTCGATTACTAATCAAAATGCAGATGCGTTATCATCCGTCAGGACTTAGGTGGAACGCCTCGTTTCCAGTAAAAAGGGTCTCCGGTTCTCTACACTCACCATACGAAATACAGCAGCATTAAGCTACTATTTCACGCAGGTATTCTGTGAGAGCGTGGTCCTTCCCCGGTCGAGCCGACCCATTCGTGCTACAACTATACTACTAATATAACTGCAGCATGGCTCTACCATGTAAAAGCGACGCAAAACATTGCTCACAACTCGTTTTCTTGTAGGTACTGGTAGTAAGTAACCTTATTGGTTGTTATATTTTTTCCCCAACTGCTTCAATTTGAAACAAAAATTTCTGAAAAGGTGATTTTTGCATTCTACTTTTTTAACCATGAGGTTAGAACCGTATGGCATTGTAATCAATAGTCCATTTATGATACCAGAGTCGCCACCGCCAATCAGCATGTGATATTTCACGCCATGTTTTTCAACGCTCTTTCGGAAACCCTTCACTATTATGCCTCATTCCATCGATGTAGCACTGTTAGACCTCTAATATTCATTCGACGAATATTAAGAGTACATCGTCCCTGCATATTACTGTCCGGTAATTCCTTGTCAAGCTCAGAGTCACTGAAAAATAAATAGAATGATAATAGTTAAAATATATTTCATACACACTGGAAAGAATACGGTATTAACATCAATGGCGAGTACATCACTCACCTTTGATTTGCCGACGATATAGTCCTTATGGCAGAATCACTGGAGAACCTAAGCACTATGCTCAATGACCTCAATGGTGTCTCCCAACAGATAGGTCTTAAGATGAACATGGACAAAACAAAGACCATGTTTAACGTCCATGTCACACCTATGCCGGTAGTTGTTGGGAGCACAATGCTCGAAGTTGTTGACGAGTATGTTTACCTGGGACAAATAGTCCGACTATGTAAGTCCAACTTCGACCGAGTGGCCAATCGACGGATTCAACTCGGCTGGGCAGCGTTCGGGAAATTACGACAAATCTTCTCGTCAGGTATACCTCAATCTCTGAAAACTAGATTGTACAACAAGTGCGTGTTGCCAGTGATGACTTATGGATCTGAGACGTGGTCCTTCACTGCTGGCCGTATGAGGACGCTCAAGGCCGCTCAGCGAGCTATGGAGAGGGTTATGCTCGGAGTTTCTCTGCGTGATAGACTCAGAAATGAGGATATCCGCAGTAAAACCAGAGTGACCGACATAGCCCAACGGATTAGTAAGCTGAAGTGGTAATGGGCTGGCCATATAGCTCGAAGAACCGATAACCGATGAGGAATAAAGGTTCTCGAATGGCAGCCTCGTACCGGTAGGCATAGTGTAGGGCGACCCCCAACTAGAGGGAGTGACAACCTGTTAAGATATGCAGGAAGTCGATAGATGCAGGTGGCTCAGGACCCTGCTTTGTGGCATTTCTTGGGGGAGGCTTATGTTCAACTGTGAAACCGTGAAGGGCTGTAATGATGGTGATGATGATTAAGATTAGTAATTTAGTAATTAAAATTAGTATTACGAACAACATTTTCTAACGGACTAATATGGGGCCTAATGTGAGACATACATATATTATACAAAAAATGATTAGATATTCAAAATCGGTCCACGATGGAGAAATCAGTGAACATACATAAAAAATAAAATAAAAGAAAAACATACAGCCGAACATAGAACTTCGTCCTTTTATGAAGTCTTAAAAATCAGCATCAGCTATTCCATAATTTTATATTTTGGTGAAATAAATTTCGGTCTATCACCTACCAATCAAAGTATGATCACAGAATAAATAATATTACGTACGATACCTAGATGATGTGCAATAGTATGTTATATGGCGGGATGGAGTTTCCGGAAGTAGCGTTAAAAAGCAATCACTACGCTGTCTAGGGTAATGTAACGTAGTGTACAAGTACTAAATGTAAAGTTGGTTGTTAATTCAGGTATGGTGGAAATTATCTTTATGGCGATTCGAGCTGTTTATAGTATTGATAAAAGAAAATAATACCTAGAACATTTTTCGCAATTTAATTAAAACTTATACTTACATATTATAATATGTATGCTAACCAAGTGTATAACAGAAATAAAACAAATACCTCAACGAAATAAGAAATGTACACATTTCTTATTTCGTTGAGGTATTCGTTTCAAACCTTTCAAACATTTCTCTTACTGTTCATCTCTCATATAGAATATTAACTACTTTTTTTTACTTCAGTTAAAACATTTTTGTAAATAAAAAAACAATTATATGATACTAATAATATTCGAAACTAATCACAATTTTCAATCATGCAATACAATGACAATTACTACTTGAGCATTCTGTTTTTACATATTATTGGTCAGTGCTCCACTACATCTAGGCTACTCTCTGCACAATAATTAAACTGGCAACAT